GGCACGAAGTTTGTTTCAGTAACCCTGTCCGGTTTTGGGAGGATATTTGGGTGGGAAATACCCCTTTAAAAGACCTTTTCCCCTTGTTTTTTTTTTAATGTAATAAGATTCACCAATGATACCAATAAGAGTAGACCAAGAGTGACAACCAGTATGAGAAGATTCGATGAGTTCATAAATGTTGTTGAGTTATGGGAGATCCCTATGCCACTTGGTCAAATCTGCAAAAAAAAATCCAATTTGTTCCAAACTTGATAAGTTCTTGTTTACAGTGGACTGGGAAGAAAATTGGGGAGACCTAGTTTCAAGGGCTTTGCCTAGAGTTACTTCTGGTCATTGGCCAATTTCAATTTGCAAAGAAGAGCATCGAGGGAGAGGCCTTGCTCCTTTTAGATTCGAAAATATGTAGCTGAATCATCCAAGTTTTACAAGATAAGTGAAGGAGTTGTGGCCAAAGAGCAACCCGGAAGTCCTTTGGGAAGGAATGAATTTCCATCGTAAGTTGAAGGAGATGAAGGGTAAAATAAAAGATTAGAACATTCATCAGTTTGGTAGGTTAGAAGAATGGAAGCAAGAATTGTTGAACCAAATTGAGGCTTTGGATACCAAGGAAGGGAAAGGAAATTTTGGGGAAAATGATAGGGCTGAGAGGTGGTCACTAAGGAAGCAACTGGAGGATATATTGGTTAAAGAAAAAATTAGTTGGAGACAAAAGTCAAGGCACTTGTGGCTAAAGGAAGGAGATAGGAACACAAGGTTTTTTCACGCAATGGCAAGTGCTAGGAAGTAGAAACTACATTTCTAACCTTGAGGTGAATGGAGAATCAATTACACAACACAATGAAATAGCTAGGGTCTTTGTGGAACATTTCAAATCTATATTTAGAAGGCCTCTAAATGGGAGAATAAGCATAGATGATGGCCTGGAGTGGACAAAGATCTTTGAGGATTCTAAGGTGTGGCTAGAAAGAAATTTCGACCTCGATGAAATCAAGGAAGCAATTTTTTCCATGGATAGAGCTAAGGCTCCAAGGCCAGATGGTTATACAATTGCCTTTTATCAAGATTGTTGGGATTTTTTAAAGTTAGATATTCTAAAGGTGTTCAATGAGTTTTTTGATAGAGTGATAAACCCGGGGCTGAATTCCACTTCCATTGCTCTTATCCCAAAGAAGCCAGATGCAATTCATCCCTATGAGTTTAGACCTGTCATCTTGGTGAATAGCCTCTATAAGATAATTGCTAAGGTTCTCTTTCGGAGAATTAGGATAGTGCTTCCTTCTATAATCTCACTAAATCAAGGGGCATTTGTAGGAAATGGACAAATCATTGATCAGATTCTAGTTGCAAATGAAAGCTTGGAGGATTATAAAAGAAATGGAAAGAAAGGATTAGTTTGTAAGATTGATTTGGAAAAGGCTTATGATTTGGTGGATTGGTCCTTCATCTCAAAGGTGTTGAGGAACTTTGGGTTTGGAGAAAAGTGGCGCAAATGGATTAAGGGTTGCCTTGAGTCTTTCCATTATACAGTCTTGGTGAATGGAATAGTAGTGGATCACTTTCCTACAATCAAAGGAATTAGACAAGGTGACCCCCTATACCCTTTCCTATTTACCCTTGTTGCAAAGGCCCTTGGGAAGTTAATTGAAAGAGCTTAATGCAAGAAGTTTGGTGAGAGGTTGGAGAGAGGTTGGAGAGTTGGTAGGGATAGGGTTCCAGTTACACATCTACAGTTTGCTGATGACACCATTTTATTTTGTGATGGGGTTGATACTAGAAGGGTGACAAATTTGATGTTGGTAGTGCAGTTATTTGAGAGGGTTCCAAATCTGAAAATACATTTCAACAAAAGTCGTGTTTTGGGGTGAACTTGAATGAGAGCCTGAGAGGGAGATACAAGAGTGTGCCTCTATAATGAACTATGAGGTCTCTTAGTCGCCAATGAAGTATCTGGGACTTCCCTTGGGAGATAATCCTAGGAATAAAAGTTTTTGGAACCCTATGATAGACAATTTCACTAAGAGGTTGGCCACTTGGAAGAAAAATTACTTATCTTTGGGAGGGAGAATCACTTTGATTAGGTCCACATCAGAAAATCTGCCAATGTATTTCTTATGTGTTTCTAAAATTCCAGTGGGAGTGGGCAAAAGACTAGAAAAGTTAATGAGAGGCTTTTTGTGGGAGCCTGGGGAGGAAAGGAAGGACCATAGGGTCAGTTGGGACCTAGTTTGCAGGAGTAAAACTGATGGTGGTCTAGGTTTATTGGGGAAGTGGTTGTGGAGGCTGCCTTATTTTATATCTTTTGCAAGGCTACACAATAGGGGGTAGCCCATCCCCCAACCCAGGTGCAGGCAGGATTCGATCCCAAGTCTCTGCTACAACTAGTAGGAGACCTTACCAACCAGCTGGTTGGCACCTTGCATTGTGGAGGTTGTCTTTGGACAAGGATAAATTGTGGGCTAAGGTGGTTCTTAGCATTAATGGGTTGTCGGATGTTGGTTGGGATGCTGGAGTGCTAGCTCGAGCTACAAATGCTTCTCCTTGGAGGTCTATACATGCTGTCCTTCCTCTTTTCCTACCTTTTGTCAGGTACAATCTTTGCTTAGGGGGACCTTATTAAATTCTAGGAACATGTTTGGGTGGATGAGTCTTCTCTGAAAGCTCAGTTTTATTCTTTGTTCTCTATCTCAAGTTTCAAGTAGGGGTGTTCAAATTCGGTTCATGAACTGAAAACCAAACCGAACCGAATAGGCAAGTTCGGTTTGGTTAATTTGGATAACGGTTCAGTCAGAGACTTAGAGAGACAAAGACTTTCCAGTTTCCAATTTCCACTTTCCAAGTTTCCAGGGCAGACTTCCAGACTGGGAAAAGAGACACTCAGACTAAAGCAAGAGACTCAGGGATGAGAAGGGACAACCAGTACTGTGGCTCTGTGAGAAAGGAGGAAAAGAGACACTCAGGCTGAATCGAGAGACTCGGAGAAGGGACAGCTGATACTGTGACTCTGTGAGAGAGGAGGAAAAGAGACACTTAGACTGAACAGAGAAACTCAGAGAAGGGACTGTGAGTTTTCTGTTTTTCCATGATTTTCAATCTTGATTATTACTTATTGGTTTATTATTGTATATTGCATTTGGTTATACTTATTTGTAACTTTTTTTTTGTGTTGTTCAATCTCACTCTTTTAAATTTCCATCAAACAATTGTTGACAATCCACAATCTTGGAATCCATGTCTGTTAAGAAGAAAATTATGGTACAACATTACAGACAAGTCTCCTTCTTCCAAGCTTCCAGTGGTTGATTGATCAGGAGGATATTGAGTCAAGAAAATTGCATAAGGATTTGAACTCTCTACCAAGTCGGTTGCATTTAATTCAGTATGTATAAGGTACTACAATGTCATGATCTGAATTGTTATTAAAAAAAAAAAACACTCTAATGGGCTCAACCGAACCAAACTCAGATTGGGACTTGGGCTTTAGGAGAGGGATTAGAGATTTGGAATTAGACCATGTGTTGGGCCTAGACCTTCTTGGTGCTTGTCTCCCAACTGGTGCATTCTATGCAAGGCCAATGGTGAGAGCTGTTATCACTAGTTAATTTCTTGTTAGTTTATCCTTTCTTTTTGGAATTGGTTTATTTTTTTGTTTGGTCGCAAGTGGACTCCCCCCAGTGTGAGAAGAAAGAAATCAAAGGATTTTCCTGGATAAGGAAAGGAGCTTAACTGCAATTCTAGAGGTTGTTACAATTAGTGTGCTTCAGTGGGTTAAATCCTTAAAAATGTTGGAGGATATACCAACAGGGCTGTTGATTAATAACTGGGAGGAAGTGTCCAAATCTGCACCTAGGAAAGAGGTTTATAATCCTTTGTGGTCTCCACCAGCTGAAGGGTACATAAAGTTAAACTTTGATGGAAGCAGTGAAGGCAACCCCAGGCCATTCTCAGCACCGGAAATTACTACAGCACCGGCCAGAGGCATTCTCACCTCTAGGCCCTCAAAACGGCAACTCCTTTTCAGCCCTTTATTGAATCTTCAATCAGATCAGCTGTAGGATGATGAAACCTACTATGAAGCTGGCGGCGAACCCAGGAAGAAGACAGCAGCAAGAAAAAGAACACGAGACCTTAATGCTCTGTGAATAAACCCTAGTTGTTTCTAGGTCAAAGTAGAGAAGAAGACAGAAGAAAGAGAAGAGAAAGAAGAAGAAGGAGAGGAGAAGAGTGTTCGGCCAGACTAGAAGAGAGGATGTTCAAAAGTCACTCTCCTAGCTGACCCACTTGACTTTTATTCATAAAACTTAAGTTACAAGAAAGACAATTTTGTCCCTCATAGAAGATGGGACACATAACTTAAACTCAGATACAATAGACATTTCACTTTCAATAAGATACACAAGAATGACCAAAATATCCCTGACTCGAGCATTCTAACAGGAGAAATTGGTCAGCAGTAGCGAGATGTTCTTCCATCAAGAACAGGGTAGTTACAAGGTGGCTTCCCCTGACTGAAGGTTCACTGAAGCTAAATTTCAATGGGAGAAGTTTTTTTTTTTTTTTTTCTTCAAGAAAAAAGGTTGTTCTTCTGTACTCTGGTCCTTTGGGATTCGGAGATTCTGTTAGGTCCGAATTACTACTGCTGTACAAGGGATGCAATTTGCAAACCAATTGGGGGTACAACAACTAATTATTGAAGGGGACTCCAAGGTGGTTATTGGCCGGTTGAAGAATCCTGAGGATGCTGTTTGGTGCTATAAGAACGAAATAAGGAGGATTTATTGGCTGATAAGGAATATGTCGGTTTCTATTCAGTTCTCTCCAAGAACTGTTGTATGAGATTATAAATCTGAATCAGTTTCTGAATTAATAAAATTTCACTATGACTCGTAAAAAAAAAAAAAAAAAAAAACTGAACAGAATGTAAAGAAATTTAAAAAAAAAATCCATATCAAATACACAATAATATAGTAGGAGAAAATCTGAGAAGCTAACAAATTTACCTCTGTCAAACCAACAAAACTAATTTCAGGGTGAGTGAAGCAGGCTGCCGGGATGCTCAAATGATTCAGCACATGATCCTTTCCAGAAACTTGTTCAACAACTATGTTTAAAGATATGCAATGGATTCGGTGGGTGAATATATAAATAGAAAACATATTTACTACATGATTGAGAGAAAGCAAAAGGGGGCTAGGTCGTACCAGAGATCCCTTGTGCACTTGCAGCATGAGCAAGCATCATTTTCCCATTTGCATCACCAATGCAATATACATGAGGCACCTAGTTATTAAATATCATGTTAGAGTTTTCTGGTTGATATACTCAAAATTGTGGAACCAATGAAATGAAAATCATGACAAACCAGTTTGCCATTCTTGTCAATTACTCTCATGCACTCATCAACAGGAACAAAACCACGTTGCGTCTCCACATTAATCTGCAGATAAACCAAGCTAGTTACTTGAACTAAATGACTTTGTTCTTCACAAATGCATCTGGTTTATCACTTCTAGAAGAATGAAATACTTACATTATCCAAGCCAAGCCCTTTTGTAAATGGAGCCCTTCCAGTTGCAATAAGTGCAGCATCCACCTACATAAATAGCAATAGTTGGAGCTTTGTCACTAGCACCATAACACTTCCACCTTATTCTCTTTCTTTTCTTTTAGTTTTTAATAATCCTGGATTAGATATATTGTTTTCATTCAAAGACCCAATAAATAGCATCACATGCTCAAAGAACAGCAATAGTAATTGGTTAAAAGCTAGCTTAATAGAAATTATTTTTCCCTTTTTTTTTTGTTTGGGGGAGGGGCAGAGGATTTTACTCAACAAAAGAGAGGGAGGGAGAGAAACACACATGCACACGCTCCGACCATCCAAATATAGAAAACATGTCAGAAATGTTGGGAATATCGTATAGAAGTATTGTAAAAGTTATAGACATGGTGGTCAAGCGATGAAAGAAATCAAGTGGCAGGCAAGAAGTCACCAATAAAAATAATCTCATCTAAATAAGGAGATGGAGAAGACTGGTGAAAGGAGCTTCGTGAAGGCTGGGAGATGGATAAGACTGGTGAAAGTGGAAGCTAAGACCCTGCTCTTTGAGAGTCTCAAAGTTCAAGGAAGGCCTGCTTTGAAGATAAAGGAGTTGAGAATGGAGATGGTGCTATTAGTAGGGGTCAAAGCAATAGAATGGTTTCAAGAATTTGTAGAAGAAGCTATTTCTCAGAGAAGAGAGCTGGCTTGCAAGAGTTCGAAGATTGAGGATGGAAGAGAGTTTAAAGCAGAGAGGAAATCAAATGCTAACTTTCTATTTGAGAAAGGAAAAAAACATATGATATGCTTACCCAAAGGTAGGAAAAGTGAAGGTTGGAAGAAAATATTAACAGTTCTCCAAGTTCTTGAAACAGGAGGAACAGCAAGAAGCCCAGCCCCCCAACAAGGAAAGGGAAGTTCCAATAGTATTGGATGAACCTGGTACTGTAGAGGAGGCTCCGGAGAAGAAGGAACTTCTCAAAGATGTCCAAGTATTCAGTGGAAAAGGAACTAAAAGCTGCAGGATGATAGTTAACAGAGGTATGGAGGATTGGAAAAAGAAATGGATGGTTCAAACTAGGCAGAAACCACATGACTGGAAGCTAGTTGCAAAAGCTTTGTTGAAAGAGTTAAAATTAGAAAAGCTCCATTGTCATTACCTTTTGAAAAATATAAGATGGTAGTGGTTTTATTGGAGAATGAGAAAGATGTAGCAGCATTGAGTTTCAATTATGGTGCTGGTTATGTGACAGTACCAGAATGGTGTCCTCTATCAAATGCAAAAGAAACTGGAGTTGAAGATAACATTTTTGTTAGATCATCAAGTTGCCCTTTCATATGTGGAAGGAAGAGGTTTTTGAATCTCTGGCTTCCTTATGCAGCACACAACTTGCTGGAGTTTTTGCCTGTGACCTTCATTCAGCTGCTATAAAATTAAACAATGCTAAACCAGAAGAGATTCCCAGAAAAGTAGAGATTGTTACAGGCGGGTTGTCCTATTCTGTGTCGTTGACCTCATCCATGGAAGCCTCACTGTGGAAGGAAGGTATAAGGGAGGAAGATGAACAGGTAGAGAGGGATAGTTTACATGGCAACTGTTGGTTCGCCAGGGCAGTAGGAAGTGCATGTTACACCAAAAGGGAAGAATGGAGCTGTCATGTAGAGAAAGCCAACCGGAAGTGTGGCAGATGGGTTAGCTAAACACGGTATTCAGAGACAGTCCATGTTTTGGGCTGTTTTGTAAATATTGAAAGTGGTTTTGGGCCTGATCTTTGCCCACAACTCCTTATTGTACTCCTTTTTTATAATTAATAATAAAATTTTCTTGTGTTGCTGATAAAAAAAAAACGGCAGACGGGAGAGCTGTTAACTAAAAATGTAGGAAGAATGGTCAAAGGTGGCATTTCATATGTACAGAAAGAGGTTTTTTGAAAGAAGGGTTGGTGATTGATCGAGAAGGTGGTGGGGTGAAGCAAACTGGTGAGTTGAACCGGGTGAGATAATTGGGTCAGACCCACTTGCGTGACTGTATTAAGTAAACACACGAGGGAGGGGGGTTAAAATGGGAAATGGGCCCAACTCTTTAAACTTTAAGCTAAAAGGCCCTTTGGCCGAAAGTGGGCTGAGTTCAAGGCCCATAGAAGAGCCGACACATGAGGACTTAAAGGCTCATGTGAGCCAAATTAGAGGGTCAATGGTGGACGATCGTTCGGGTCCATCATTGTCCTCGGCTAGGGTTAGATGGTCAGTCCCAAGCAAGAAATTCTCAGTGGCACAGTCGAACCTGCAATGGATTCCAAGTAAAGGGAAATGCATCGCTTCATCGAAAAAACGCAATACAAAGTTTTTCCAACGAGCCAACGACGGTTGGGGATAAAAAACGGAGGATATTGGGAGCTCAAGTGACAACAGTTCCAACATAGATTCTTATGAATTGTCAAGTATTGGCAATGTGGAGGAGGACGAGACTTTAACTTTGGAAGCATAGGAAAGTTTCCATATGGATGCCCTCTTTAAGGAGGGCTCTAAGGCGGCTTCAGGTATTCAAGAAGACGTACCCCCAGATAGGCCAAATGCAGATGCTAATATGGTGAAGGGAAAGGAAGTCAAAGCTGAAAGAGGTCAGGACACTGCCCCATCCTTAGAGGAGCCAGAGGCTTTGCGTGTATTGTCCAGGGAGGGGTGAGTTAGAAAGGGCTATTCCTAGTGACAGAGGTATATCCAACCCAAGGTAATATCAACCAACAAACTCCTTCGAGTAAGTAGGCTAACAATCCTTGTCCAGTTTTTAGTCAAACCTTGTCGATATCCCCAGTTCTTTGACTCAAAACCCAAGTACATGTATAAATTCGGTTTTGGTTACTGACTTGGGTGTTCAGCCAGACACAGGTACTTATGAAGCCCATCCAGGTGCCCTGCCTTTGCAAGAAGGTGTGGATAGAGGGTTGGTGGTGGAGATGGGGGAAGTAGAAGAAAATTGGGGGAAGGACAAGGATGAAGCTAATAGAATTTGGACTTTAACAAGTGTTCTGTTTGAGGAGCTTAAAGAAAAGAAGGTAGGTGAAGAAGGGCAGATGCTAAAACGGATAAGGGAGTTAGAGAGGGAGGGGTGTTGGAAAAAGAACTCAATGAGGAGGGTGAGTTAACTCCGAAAGGAAAGGAAATGGAGGTAAGGGAGAGCCTAAAGAAAAGGAATGAGGTTCTGAAGGCTTATCCTAGGAAGAGTGAGGAAAAAAAGAGGGGGAAAAAAGAAGAAAACAGAAGTGGAGAGGTTGATTTTTGATGTGGAAGAGAACATAGAGAGTTTAATGGAAGAGGGGAAAGGAGGAAGAGAACAAGATAGGTAGATTCTTTGTGGTTAGGGCCTAATAGTTCATAGTATCATGAAGTTAGTAAGCTTGAATTTCAGAGTATTGGGGAGTTCTAGAAAGAGGAGCTTGACCAAAGACTTGCTTAGAAGAAAAGGACCAAATATTGTTATGATTCAAGAAACAAAACTAAGAGATTTGGATATGAGATGGATTAGAAGTATTTGGGAATCAAGAGGTATTATCTGGTTGGTGGTGCCTTCTTGGGGGCATCAGGGGGAGTTTTAACCATGTGGAAAAATGAAGTATTGGAATCAATGGAAGAATTGATTGGAAGGTGTTAGAGTCGGCTGTACAAGGGTAGTACAGTCCTTTTATGTTTAGTTATATATGTATTGCTCTGCTGATGTGGCCCTCACTTAAGTGAGGGCACAATGGTAATCCTTGTATATCTTAGAAGAGTATAAATAAAAGAAGGGCCGACTAGAGGTTTTGAGATTTTTTCTCTCTAGTTCGGCTGTGACTTTTCTCCTTTTTCTTCACTTTCTCCTTCTCCTTCTCTCTCTTTTTTCCTTCTCTTTCTTCTGATCTGAACATCGTTTTCTCCTTTTGGGGGTTTCCATGCCTCCAATGAGTGCAGTTGTTGTGGTTTTGTGTGGTTGGTAGAAAACCCTCTACTCACAATTCGAAGGGGGCTGGTTTTGTGATGGTGACAGTGCAGACTTGGTACCCTCTACTCGACAGGTACATGATCTTCGAACTAAGTTGTGATATGTAGCAAGTTTCTTTTATATGTTGCAGAACTGAAAATATTATTCGTGAGGTGTGTTGTGAGGGTTTCTAGTGCTGACAGTAAACAGCAACAGTAGTGCTGTTGCTGAAAGTGGTAAACAGTTGTGAATATTATTGCTGAAACAGTGGTGAATAGTTGTGAGTGTTGCTGCTGAAACCTAGTACTAGGAACCCTAGTGGTGTTCAGTCATTCGTGTGGAGTGTGGTGATTTATTAGGGCAGTAGAGTAACAATTTAGTGGTACAACCTCCCACTGTTTTTTTTGTTCAGTCATGGGAGACAACAGTGAATACAAATCAAGTTTGATGGTGCCTTCTGATTATCTGAATGTGCAGATGACCTCTATAAAACTGAATGGTGAGAATTATGTCCCTTGGGCTAAGTCTGTTGAAGTATTCCTGAAAGCCAAAAAGAAAGTGAAACATTTGAGGGAAGATAAACCCTCAATTGATTCCCCAGGATATGATGAATGGGAGCAGGAGGATGCTCAAATTATGACTTGGCTATGGAACAGCATGGAATCCAAAATTAGTGTGAACTTCATGTTTTTAGATACAGCCAAGGAAGTCTGGGATCATGCAAGGAAACTATATTCTGGACAAGATAACACTACTAGGGTTTACCAACTGTACCAAGAGTACTTCAATCTGCAACAAGGGAATCAGAGTCTTGAGGACTATTATGTCAATATGAGAAATTTACGAAATGAGTTGAATGTTTATCATCTTCTTACACCTGATGTCAAAATTCAGCAACAACAAAGAGAGCAATTGGATGTGACCAGATTTTTAGTAGGGCTGAAATCTGAGTATGAACCGTAAGGGCACAGATATTAGGTGGATCTGCTCTTCCCTCTCTTAAGGAAGTGTTTGCTCGTCTTTGGAGGATTTCAGTTGGACCCATAGAGACTTCCACTATGTCAGATAGGTCTGCATTTGTAGTTACGAGAGGGGG